TAATACATTCTCCATAGCTGGTTAGAACACCCCATAACAGATTTATTTTGCATAATTATCTTCAATGGAGTTTTAAAAACTGTTCTTATCTCAACACATGAGTTTTACTTTTTTTCCTGATTTTCCTTTCCATCCCACTGGAAGAGGGGAGGAGGAGTTGGCGAGTAGCTGTGTGGTACTCAGTTGCTGGCTGGAGTTAAACTACAACACATTATTTGCTATTTTTTTTTTTTTTTTGTATTCTTGTGTTTCTGTCTACTGTTCATATCTTATAATTATGAAATTAATCAAATAGAAGAACAGTTATTGTGGTAATATGTTTGGCAATTAAATGATGTCTACAAATAATGCTGTTCATTGTGTGACTGTAATTACAACAGTTTTAGTCAGCTCTATTACAAATGTAGTTCTACCTAAGTAACAAGTCTCATATGTTTCATAGAAGCACAGCTAGATTTTTTTAACTGCTGGCCTAATGAGGCATAATAATTGACAAATCTCAGCTTGCTAAACTTGAGTCACATAGAAGTAGAAAATTATATGTTCACAGGTACATTTTTAAACTTTATTTGTATTTATATCATCCATAGTCAAGACAATACAAAGAAACAGTTCATTAGTGTAGACTGAGCTGTTTATCTTTTGAGACTATCTTCTTAAAACATGTCTTATTAATTTGCTTACTTCCTCAAGTCTCTTTTGCAGCTCTGTTGGTCTGAGTTATAACGTAATTTGTTTTATGAACAGTAAATTTAATGCTTTTCTTTAGTTAAGCAGGTATAAACCTGTAGAGTATGCAGACAAGGTGGCACACGCCTACTTTTAATAGTCCTGAAGTAAGAAAACATTGTCTTACAATAAGGGTGACTCATCTAGAACTGTAGTTGAGATCAGCCTAATACAAAACATCCCTAAAAAAATTCCATTAAGACTACTGCCCTCGGGGTGGGTATCTTTGAACTCTAGTTCCAATGTGTAAAGTTTAAATGGTGCTTCTCAGAAGTTTGTAACTTAGTTTGACTCACTCTCCTCCTATTTTTCCTGTTCTTAAGGGCCCTTCTGCAATGACTTTTTCACAAGAGAATGCACTTGCAGATTGTAGCCCTCACATTTGGCTTTATAAGTATCTGGTGATACAGATACAATTACGTTTTGCAAGTGCCAGGAACAGTATGGTCACGCCTTCAAAGTGTTGATGACTGTTGGGAGCTACATGCTATGTTTTATTTCATTGAAAGAACCCATGTGACTTTTTATAGAAAAAAATATTGACGTAAGCCTTGTCTATCAAAGGACAGATACCTTAATGAAGGAAGGCTGCATTTTCATGGGCACACTCATTAACCAGTGACTGCTCTATGCTGTGAGGCAAAGAAGTGGACTGACAGGTGGGAAGGTACTCCTCGGAATAGTTATTGTCAGGTGAAAACATCCCTCTTCCTTGTCCTCTACGACAAAACCTTCCTCCCTTTCTTGTATACTAATACTGGTAGAGGCAGTATCAAGTCTGGCTTTTTGGTTTTGAGGCTACAGAGAAATGTCGAATGGGTAAACAAAAAATTGTTAGATGTTTCTGGTTACCTATGTTACATGAATAACAATTTCATTCTCTTGAGCATGAATGAAGTAAATGCTTGGCAGTACTTATTTTTGTGGTAGGAACACCTCTGTTAAGAGATACTAAAAATTCCAAGAAGATCCGGACTGAATTGCCAGATGAATGGCCAGATTGGTCAAGCCATTGCTGTGTAGAAAGTGAAAGCTAAATTCTAGTAAATTATCTTACTATTTTGAGTTCACTGAAAACTTCAAAAGTATGTTGATAAATAGGATATGCTTTCAAAATAGGAGAAATTTTAATGACAGACCAAGAATGGCATGATGTGAACATATATTTACAAAAGCAAGTGTATGTGTACATATACATGTGCAATTAGGAGAAAAAAAAGAAAATCTATAGGCAAAAACACACTTGCCATTCAGGTGCATCTTTATTCTTATGGTATTCATTCCCTGGGATATGATATGTATGATCTTTATTCCAGCAAAGTAGTATTATAATTGCTACTTGTTTGTGGCACGCTTTTCAGGGTAAACTTTTAAGTAATTTCTTAAGGGTACACTTAGTACATTTTCTAACTAAGATAGTTCCATGAACATGCACACATTTTAATTTCTAATTTTGAGTGAGATCCTAGGATAAAGAGTCTAAGAGGTGTTACTGAATAATAATGCGATCTAAAGCTCTCAGGATATCAAAGAACGGCCCAGAAAAATTGAAAATGAAGTTTTCTGCTGGAGAGAGAAGGTTTAATGGGACAAATTCTGAAATCCTGTATCAATTTTATCTTTAATGAAGGCAATTCCTTGAAGATAGAGAAATTTAATATTTAACCTAATGGAATTTGGCAATGTAAAGGTTTGACTATTTTTGATTTTATGAAAAAAGCCATGCTCTGAGTGGATGTTAAATGTAATGCAGTATGGGGAGGTTTGCTTTATAATCAGATCCAGCTGGAAAGAAGCCGAGAGTAAATGGGAGATGTGCGTCGGGAAGAGGCAGTTTCCAAGGGAATAAAGCTTAAGTAGAGGAAGCCAAAGAAAGAAAGAGTTTGACAGGTAATGTAACAGTAAGAAGGACAGGGGGAAAAAAAAAAAAGGTTGAGTAGATGAAAAGGAAAGGAAGGTATGGTTTGAAAGTAGGGAATAAAAACAGAACAGTGGTGCATGATGGGGGACAAGAGGTAACAGGTGAAAACTGAACCAAGGGGAGTTCCAGCTCAATAAGAGGAAAGACTCTTTCACCTTGATGACAATTAAGCAATGAACAGGTTGCCTGGAGAGGTTGTGCAGCCTCTGCCCTCAAAAGTTTTCAAGTGTTGGGGGGTGGGGGGGGCGGTAAAGGGCTGAGTGACCAGGCCTGATTTTATGGGTGATCCTGCTTTAAACAGGATTTTGGACTAGAGACATCCCAAGGTCCCTTCCAGCCTGAATTATCCAGCATTAAAAATCTGTTAGCTGAGTCTTAAAATTCTTTGTGACACAGCCATGAGGTGGCGTTCCAGAATGACTGTTTCATTTGCCCAAACAGCCTTCTGAAAACCAGGAATGAAGTGCTGTGTGTGTTTGACTTCACTGGCAGCCAGCAGAGCTCATGAAATCCATGGGGGTCTGAGCCCGTGCTCCAGCTGCACGCTCTGGGCTCAGTGTGATTACACAGTGACAGAGAGCCCCATCACCTTACCGGAGGTGTGCTACAGGCAGTCTTGAGGAGGAGGGCTGCGCTCAGCCATCCTTCTCACAACAAAGCAAAGGTGCAGACCGTCTAAGTTAACATAGAGATCTTTTTCTTTCACTACAAACACATGAGATTTAGATGGAACTGAGTTTTAAACCAACTAGCACTGCTGCCTTGCTGTGATGATTTTATAAAAAATAATTTCCCAGACTTTGTTTATTCATTTTTCTTCATCATTTAAAATCATGCAGCATCCTTTTCAGTGTGCATATTATCATCGTATTTTTTTTTGTGAAGGTTTATAGGCAGATGTTTATTGTTCTCTCTTTCTTCCCACTTCCTCACTCTTACTAACAATACAAAGCCAGTTGCTACCACTATTTTTGTTGTCATGTTATAAATATTAGACATGATAAATGCTTGTTATTCATAAAATCATTGTTATCTTTTGGGGTCCTCAATGGTTAATTCACTTGTCATGCTCAAAAAAAAAATTTAAAAATCATAAGTCACTTTCCAATAATGTTAACTCTTCAGCAGCTTTAAATTTGGTTTTCAGGTTTGTATGTCTAATTTTGTAGATAGGTATTTGAGTTTACAATAGAAAGTGACATTTTACTTAAATAAGGCATCTAATTGAGCTTATTATACGTAAATATAAAAAAAACAAAACAAAACAAAACAGCTTTCCACAGGCAGCAAATATGTATCATTATATTCAGATTTATTTGAAGAACAATTAGGCCATATTTTTATAATTTGTCTTTCACTACTAATTTATTTTGTCGTGGTGTTTTGTATATTTCTGTCTCTGAAGATTCATTGAAGCCTGCTTTAAACATAATTAGACTTTGCATTTATAAAATTTCCACTTGTTTGTGGAGTGACTACCCCAAAGACATTTGAAACCTTATGCTTTGGTCTGTATATTAATTCAATATCTAAAGGATAAAATTCTGAATTCTAAGTGAGAGTTCCAAACTTGAATTATTTTGATTTGTTTGCTTAAAGAAAGGACAATGATCACTGAATCTTGAAATTGCAGTCAATAAAGAGAAAAATACTAATTTTCTGAAATACTTGCTTTACAGAACAGATCAGATAATAAATTGAAACTATTGTTCTTGGTATTAAAAAAATATTATGTTATTCTTCACCACTAGTAAAAGATCTAAAAAGTTTTCCACAATTTCCAAAATCTTTTTCACTGACTTGGCAATGTTTTTGATGTTGAGGTGAACAGTTACATCTGCTGTCTACCTGAATATATTTCAATACTTTTTGTCTATTATGTAGTATATATATTGTTGAGAAGAGATTTATGCTATCTCCTGGTTTTTTTTTTTTTTTTCTTTTCTCATTATTGCTGATGCTGCATTTAGTGATCTGTTGAGGTGTTAAGTCATATGAAGTTTTCAAAAAGTTATGTTCTTGGTTGTCATACAGTGTCAATAATGTGTACCTGAACAAATACCTTTTTGTAGAAGTTCCTTATTTACGTGGGCTTTGGAGACAGCCTTTCTGTGATGTTTTCATATTGTATAAAATTGTATAAATTATAATATGAATTTTATATTTTAGATGTATGTTTTAGAAATTTAGCTAGATTGTGCCTTGAAATAAGTAATCTTTAAATTTACAGCTTCTGAAAAGGTTCTGTCAAGAGACAGCAGTATGTGGATTGAAGGTAATGTGTAGCAGATTAGTAATTTTGATTGATTTATCTTTGCATGAAGTATGAAGAGTTTTTTCTTGATCACAGACAACCTATCACAACAAGTTTGTGTTTTTACCGATGGAAAAGAAGCTGTTGCACAAGCAGGTTTTCTCCTTCATGAATCTCTGAAAAGCCAAACAAAAGTAAGTACAACTCTAAGGATGTAAAACCATGTGATGAATTGAATGTTCCTGGTTGCCACAACTTGTAATAAAAGGTCTAAGTAATGGGAATACAGAAACGGAGACCTTCTGTATCACTGTAGTATTTATTACAAGGGAAAAACAGCAGATGTGAAAGTTACCAACAAAGAAGCATCTTCTGCCCAGTTATGCTTTAGAGGAGAATCTTACAAATACTCTTGAAAAATTTATATTAGATTAGAGGAGAAATTGGGTCCAGACAACAGGGAAGCCATTTTCTTTACTTTTTTTTTTTTAATTCAATAAGCACAAATCGTTACAAATATGTTACAGAGAAAATGCTTTTGTTACCCTGAAGTCTGAATTAGTCTGAAGCAAGTAAAGCATAAGTTGTATTCCTACAGACCTGCAAATGCAAAGCCAAATGAATCAGCCTTTTTGCAGAGAGATAGGGGTACATTTCACTCCTAGTGAATGCTCATTAAAGCTTTTGCTGTAGGATATTGATGGAATTTTCTACTGGCATTTAACTGTCTTTTCCTTTTTTCATTATTCCTACTAGTAGAACTATCATTATTTTCATTTTCCAAAAGGTGATTAACATTTGGTAATTGCATAAATCTTGACTGATCTTGAGGTGATTCTTGTGATATCATTGCATAAGATATAATTATCTTTCTATTGCCCAGAGAAATAGATGGGGAATAGCTGTTAAAAAATAAATTTCCTGATATGCATAATGTTACTTCTGTAATGGTTTTATTCATGTCTGTTGATCTTCTGCATTGTGTGCTTAGTTAATAGTAGGATGTCCTTCTGTAGTAAACTGTGTTATTTTATATCCAGAAATGTCATTTGACATTGTACTTAAAATTATTTCCAAACAGAAAGTGTAGTTAGTATGGAAAGTCATGCTTTATTTCTATTAAATATCTTGAAAGTAGCAGAATTCGGTGAGATATTTTGTTCTCTGGATAGCTATATAATGGAGCAGAATAATAACACTTTCACTGATAACAGATCCATTGCTATTTTTCCCGTTTTCTCTCAATTTAAACTATTCTACAATTACTAGAAAGACATCACATACCTATATTTAGAGGGAAAAAAAATGTACTTAAATGTTGACTTATCTATATCTGTGTTTGCATATAACCATTTTAATCATACAGTGAGAAACACTTTGAAGCCAGTAAGAGAAGTCAAAGAATGTGTTATGCTTCATCAGACAACACTGTGGCTCCAAAATTGTCAACCTCAGGTCAGACTGGTACCAAAACCAGTTAAAATATACGTTTCCAAATTTTCATTGCAAAACTAGTTAATTGTTGTTTTGGTCAAGTACCTGAATGGATGATGCATTTGAACAAAACACATGTAAAATGATCACAGACAAGGTAGTGAGGGTATAAGATGAGGGGATTCCTACTAAGGGACTGAATTTTCTTGGTGGCACTATTAAATAAGTTTTAGTTGATTATTTCTTGCAGCGTCCCTCTCTGTTTTGATCCATGTTGTATTTCTTCATAGTGAAGTTAATTTCTTTTCAATGTTTTCAAAACATTCCTGCAAAGTGACACCTGCCAATGAACTCCATCAAGGCCTGTCTTGTATTGTTCCTTGAAACATCTTTGGTCATTCATTTCTGAACCCTTAGACTGAACATCTATAAAAATTATTATTTATGTATTGAGTATCTTGTTTCTAAACAGTAACAATTAAGAATTAATTTTTAAGCTTACCAATATACAGAACTTGGAAATTTGAAGCACTTTAGAAAGACTATATCTCCTGGCCTATGATTTCTGGAGTGAAGCACAGTAACCTTGTGAGAGAAAGATCTGACTTTGTACAACGTGGTAATTGTTTTAAGCAAGTTGAATGTTCCACACTGAAAGCTGGGCCTTTTCAAAGTGCTAATTGGAGTGTAATTGATCTAAAGAAGACATTAATTTGAAATCATTCAGTAGAGTACATAGTGTCTAAATTTAAAATTACTATGGTCAATAGTTTAATATTCTTAGATAGCTTTGACACTTTTGTTCTTAATATCAGCTGTATTTACTTTTAAGGTATTTGTTAACTTCTAGAGGGAGCCTTAAAGAAGAATTCAAAAGAAAGTTTGCTAAAGGAATTTCTGAAATTCCAATAGCATAATAATGCAAATAACAGGGGGGGGAAAAAAAGACCTATAAATTGAATGGTTGAGATAAAACGAAAATAAAAGCTTTTCTTAGAACAACAAAAAATTAAGGCAAGAGTTATTGTTTCCAAAGTACTTTGGGAATGTTACTGTAAGCTGTATAAATAATAGTGTTTTGCAGAAGATACCTTACTGTGAAAGATGTAAGTTGAGTCTTTCCTGAAGTTTGTAATTTAGCTCTGTCTTCAGAAGCGAGCAATCCTAAACTGAGGCTGAAGGTGTTTTCTTCTGGGACTGAAAATTATGTATTCCTGTTTATTCAGTGACAAAGTGCTTCTGTAACATCAATCAGCTGGTTGAAATAGTGTTATTTTTGTGACTGGATAAAGAGACACAAGCAGTATACAAAAATATTTGGTTGTTTTCAATTAGGAAATCAGTGTTTCACTAGTAGAAATTCACTAATTTCTTAATCATTGCATTGCACATCTGCTGGATTTGTATTAGTTGTAATTTTAAATTCTGATATAATTTAACTTTTACAGATTCCCAATGTCCTACTGTAGTTTTTTTTCCCCATTTTATTAAAGTGGATGTTGAATAAAGTTGAAACTTCAGCACAGGGCATCTGATAATTAGAATAACGATGAAGAAAACATATTTAATATTCCTATCTTCATGTTCATGGAAACTTATCATCTGTGCTTCTTTTGAACTAGCTGAATAATCAGAAGTGATTAAAGAAATCTATAGACTTTTTTCTATTTCAACACTGAAATATTATGTAACAAACTGTTTTTCCTGAAGTGGTATTTTTAGGTATTTTTTTCTCTCTGAAGTAGCTGGTAACTTAGATTTATATTAATCTTAATAAAAAAGTACTTTTGCACACTGACATACCAAGTAGAGTAAGAATAATTTTAATTTATTGTTGTATTGATGCTTCCAGTTAGGCAGCTGTACTTACTTTACCAAGAGATAAATCTGATTTTCTTTTTTTCCTGATAATATGGCTGTTAAACAAAGGCTTTGATGTTTATCAGATTGTTCAAGTTAAATCAAAACTCTGATAACAATACACTTTTTAAATGTTCAGGAATACCTAAGCAGCATGTATTGTAATATCTTAAGGAAAAAAAATTAGGCTCTCTTCCTTGAGTCACATTCCATTTACCTTCTGGAAAGACTCTGACATGGTATGCTCCTGTTCATCTGAGCATGTGGAAGGTTTAAAGGTACTGAGGATTTCTGATTTTACTTCTGCAGCAATTTAAGCTAGGAGTGCCCTGAACTATTACATTTTTCAAGTATTTTAAGTATTTTGTGCCTTTTGTGATATTTTTATTATTTGAAAATCTCTTTAAAATGTCAACTGTTTGGGACTGTGTTATCAAATTTTCACCCCATAATGTCTTTAAAATTTTTGGTGCATAAATATCCACTTTTGGGTTCCACACCATCTTCCTTTGCAACAAGTTATTTCCCCGAGTATCACAAAAATAAATAACTTCAGACAACGGTGCAAAGCCTTGTTGTATTTGAGTTGTTGTACACTGCTGTTGGATTGTGGATTAAGTGATGTTTAGAGGGAACGCAGCAGTGTATCGCTTCTGTTGTTTGCTGCTTTATATAATATGTCTTGCAGGCAGAAATAATGCTCATTTGAGCAGTGTAACAGAGGTTTGACTGGTTTAATAGAGGTAACATGATGACTTTTTACATTAGTTTCAGGTTTGGTTTTTTTTTTTTTTTTTTTAATTGGCTTCAAAGTGTTCTCTTCTCTTAGGGAACAAATTCCCCTTTAATTCCTAGTTTGCTGTTTTACTTAAGGCAATCTTAAAGCTGATAATGTGGTACAATCTACATTTTATTTTAATGAGGATGAAATCATTTCTTAGCTGGAGTTACAGTTAAATATTGCAAAATAAGTATGCCTGTGATTAAGATGGTATTTTAAAGTATTCATTGAGGAAATGATTTTGAGGAAAAATGCTGAATCAGTCTTGTCATATGTAGAGTCTGAGGATACCTGTGCACCTAGTTTTTCGTACATTGTTCTTTGTTTTGTTTAGCTGCATGAGGACAAAATATGTATGTATTTGAATATTATAGAGATTTTCCTCATAATTAGAGGTGTAAAATCGTTACATCCTCCTGATCCTATGAACAGTGTTTTTTGTCTCTGGGGACAGCAGAACATCCTAACCCAGGCAGCTGCACTAGCATCCCATCCTTCCAGGGCTGTTTCTGGAGTGGCTCCCTCCAGCAGTGTGCTTCAGCAAGACCATGCAGAAAACTGCAGGGTGCTGAACTCCATACTGCACTGCTGAGTCGTCTGAAAATTGAAGCAATTTTTAATTCTCAGAATGGAGATTATAATTGCCAGTTTTAAATCACTCACGTGAACAAACTCTGCCATAATGGTGGGAGCTTTAGCAGATAGTTAAGGCTGAAGTTAAGCTTATGATATAGTAATTTTATTTTTCTCTAAACAGGTTGAAGCTCTATCAATATCTCTAAGCAAAAATGATAGCCATCTACAAAACATCTTTTCAGGACAGTGCTACAATTTTGTTTGTGTAAATGTAAGTAGTAAGTTTTGCACTTAAACTTATTAGTAATGGTAAATAATAATTACATATTTGAATAATCCATTCAAATGTTCAATGTTTTTGATGTGCACCAAACTAGACCTTTGAGGTACTGGTCTGTTCTTTCTGTCCTGGTTCTGCACTTCCAGCAGTATGTTGTTAAACCAGACTAGAATTGTTGAACAAGAAGGATGCCACTAAAAGTAGTTTAAAATTTACTTTTATAGATATTATGGTGAAATAAATTGTTTCAAGAAGGTTTGTCATATGTGTTGTAGTCTAACTGTGGATTGCTACAAGGGTTAGTATTGCCCATTTTGGTGACATACCTGCCGTGTAATCTGTATCTGGGTCCCTGTATGAGAACAGGAAGGTTTTAGATGAACCGTATCTGAGACAAGTCAAGACCCTTAAGCTTTTTATATATTTCTTAAGGATAATATTATTAATATTTTTTTTTTTTCACAACCAGCTATAACTTTACCAGGCAAAAGCATAACAAATACATTAAAACTAAAGAAAAATTCCAAAACCCCAAAAAGTGATTATTTATTTATTTATTGGTAAATAACAGTTCTTTGAATTCCATTTTCATGAAATCATTCTTTGATGTTATTGGTAATTCTAAATATTTATTTTCATTTAGGATAAAAAGTGTGCCATTCAAGAAGTGCAGCAGCTAGTGGATATGTTGGAAAAATCAGCTATTCCTCTCTTATATCCAGTTGTCCTTATTTTGGTAGGTGACTCATCTAAGTTACTGTAGAAAGCATCTAATGAAATATTTTTAAATGTTAGATTACATTTAAGTTACTGCTATCTCTGAATAAAATTGTAAATTAGAACTGTAAATTGGACTGTAAAGAGCATTATTTGCACTCCAGCAAATGTGCTAAAATGCTGTGAGGAAATAAAACAACCCTAGCATATATATATTTCTGTGGAAGACTCATTGTGGTTTGTCATCTGGAAGTGTTAACTCCTGCTTTGCTGTTGTGCTCCATCTCTGCAAATGATGTACTCTGCTTGAATGCTCAGCTGAAACAGAATTATGTGGCTTTATTTTTCTCTTCTCTGTGGTTTGCTCAAAGTTTTAAAATCATTGTTCCTTTTCTGGTCCCAGTATTAAAAACGAGTTTTGAAGTACTTTGCAATGTAACTTTAATACATACTTACTGAGATGTTGTTAGACTGAAAAATCTATTCTGGTATGTGGCAGAAGTTTTAAAGTATTTTTGACTGAAATTATCATTATTTGAATATTGCTGCCAGAATAATTTACCAATTCATGTGGGTGACAGCTGAAGGTGTGTGTGACTTTTATTTTACTCAGACTGTTAAAAAGGAGAAAATAGGATTTGGTTTGAAAGTCTCTGTGCAGTGTAACCCAATCCAATTGATTCTGCCATTACGTTTTCTGGCTTACTACTTAGGAATGAGTGTCATTAATGCCATATGTCACTCTGGACTACACTAATTATATTCTCCAGGAAGAACACGAGATAATAAATTGTGTTTTAAAATATAATTCCATTTATGAAGCTCCTGAAAAAGGAATAAGTCAATATTTTACATGGGAATGGAACAGTTTCTGAAGTGCATAGTCTAGTGATCTGGAGGCAAAACTAAGCATTTACTTCTAAGTTTTAGGCTTAATCTTAAATTTAAGTGGTGAAATGTCATTATTGAGCTAACAAATAAATGAGATATTATGAAGTTTCATTTGCAAAGGTAACTGATCAAGTTACATTGTTATCTATTGCTGTTGTCTTCATGCGAGCTACTCTGATTCTGTGAACCACTTTAGCACTTTATTTCTAGACTGTCTTTTTTTCTTCTTGACCTTATTTCTGAGGAAGTTCAGGGTATAGCTTTGATTTTACTGCATTTTCAATCATAAATTATTTCTACCTCTGATAATCAGAATAATGAGAGGCCTCCAATTCTGTTGCGCATTTACAAGGCTACTGGATGTGCAGAATGCTCTTTTCTGGTCTGACAGTGTTTTCAGTGGTCCTTTATCAAGAGTATAAAACCCCATTTCTGTCTGTGTTAAATCTGGGGAGTGTGTAGACAAAGCTAGAGGTGTTAATGAACTATGTAATACTACAATGTTAAAATTGTATTCTGAGCCCAATTCATAGGTAGTGTCTACTCTGGACTTTGAATTAATTAATGGAATGTGAGAGCTTTATGTTAGTAATTGTAGCTATGAATATTAGATAATCAGAAATAAATCTAAATAAATATTAGAAATAGAAGGAGGAAAATGGGATAACTGGAAAGTATGTTTTAAATGACTAAAGAATTAGCTAAAAAAATCAGTGTCTTATATTAATCACTGGGAATAATTTAAGTCCTTTAAACTTCTAATCCCTAAAACTCATTTCAGATGGTATGGCTTGGGGATAGAAACTTCCTTCAGCAATCTTTAAATACAATCCTGAATGCCCTTTTCACTAAAGCTTATGAGTGTGATTCTCTTCAGCTTTATTCTTCACTATATACTTTAACATAAAACATGAATGCATTGCTAGTGAAAATCCTGAGACATACTTTATTTTGAAAAAATGAAAGGGCAAATATGGCTCAGTTTTAAGGAAATTCATGACATTTAAATGCATAGCTTTTAGGTGCTAACTTTACAGGAAATGTTATTCTTTTCTACTCAAAAGTAAAACTGTAAAAATTGAAAGGATGCATGAAGAGAGGGGCCAACTGCTTCCATTCTGACCTTGTAATCAGGAACAGTCTAATGTAGACTTTCATGTAATTGGAAAGTTCTTTTCTATTGTTTGACTTCAGGACATGTAACTTTTTCATAAGAATCTGGTAATTAAGAGAATTAGTTTATTTTTCTTTCTGATGTTCAGCTTCTTCAGTTGTAAAAGTGACAGGTGTTATTATTGTGCCAGATAATCTGTTTAACCACCCTGGGGAGAATTATCCCAGTAAAAGAATGAGCTTGCACTGGACATGATGACTTCTGTCCATGTTCCTGCCTATAAATTGCCACACATCTCAGTCTGTCCTTTAGCCAGATACCTCACGGGACTGTTTTGTGGCATCTCTAAGCTGAAGCAACAATTGGGCTACTGTACCTGGATGTAGCAGAAAAGGGAAGATTACTATCACAGGAGAAATAAGAAGCACAGAGATAAACTTCATATAATTATTTGTCTGCATCAAATCAGTATCCTCTCTAAAGCTGTTATAATCAGAAAAGCTATGTTCTTAAACTGATGTTACTTGAGTAATACCTGTTCACATTTGTAGATGCTATGAATGGATTTGAGTCTTATTTTGTTGTTATTACTTAGAGTTAGAAAGAAAGGAACACTGCTACTTCAGCTCTGTAGTTGCCACTATTTGCATTTCAGTACAGAAGTTCCAGAAAAATCTCTTCTTAAAGCTGAGAAAATTTAATGAAAAATAGGTGTTGCGTCGTGTTCTCTCAAAAGAATAGGTTTTAAAATGTCTTGTAAGTGGCTGTAAGTGAGCAGCACTTACCCTTCTTCTGGGTAAAAACTAACAAAATGATGACTGTTTGAAAATTAATCTCTGTAGAAGACAATAGCTTTGTTCCTGGTGAAAATACACAGTAAACAGCTTTTTTTTAAAAGTGTCACAGGGGAAAATGAGTAAAAAGCTATTATCTGTCAGGATAAATAGAACATAAGGTACAAAGGGAACTTCAAATCATTTTTCCCAAGCACAGATGTCTGCAGCTACCTCTATAGTGCTGCCTCTCTCTAGGATTTACACATAAATTTTGTATTGAAGGAATCATTCAGCCAGAAAAATATTCTTTCTTTTAAGAGGAAAGATATTTCTGCTATTAGTAGATGCTGAAACTTTATACGCACAAATCATCATCCTTAATTTTGATTCCTACGGTTAATAGAAACTTTGGAAAATAAACTAATTACACTGGAACGTGTGAGCCTTGGGAAAGGGTTGAATTAACTGATATATCCCTGGAGAAACCAGTTCAGGTTCTTCAAGACCCTCCGTGTTTGTTGATCATCCCTGCTGGGTATGAGACATGCCTTTCCCTCCCCAAGAACTTGGGATAGTCATATCCCTGCCTTCTTCTGAATAGTTTCTGCTTTTCAAACTTGAAATATTATCTTGAGATTAATCAAATTTAGGCAATTAATACACTATACTGAAAAGGCAGTAAATTCAAAATAAATCTTTAAAGACTGCAGTTCCATTTTGAAAACCCTTAAGCTTAAGAAATACACCACCTGTATTTCTCCAGTATCCTGATAGTAAAAAACATCTGTGAAAGTTATATTAGAACTTAGGAAAGAATGTTGTTTGTTTTCTGATTTAATAAAATATTTTTAGTTTGTAGTTAGAACATTGTGTTATGATGTGTTCTGGCATTTTGGTTTCAATGTGCTTTGAAAAGAAATAATTTTCATGTCACTGAACTATAAGTACTGGAATTTAATAGTAGTAGAAGCCAACTAAGAACCACCATTGTTACCTGTATTTTTGGTGAAACACTGGCATAGATTGCCCAGAGAGGTGGTAGAAGTCCTGTCCCTGGAAACATTCAAGGTCAGGACAGCTGAGGCTCTGAGCAACCTGATGTATTTAATGATGTCCCTGCTCATTGTAGGAGGAGGTTTAACTAGATGACATTTTAAGGTCCCTTCCAACGCAAACTGTTCTATCATTTTGTGATTTTTGTGTGCTTAAGACATAAAAATGAGATGCTAAAAACTGACAGTCTAGAAGAACATGAGATGGAAAAAAATGGATTTTTTTTTCCCCTTGTTTCTTCCTTTGTTAAGGTACGTTTGGATATCTCAGAAAATATTTTTTTCAGCACTGGGATGGAAGAAATAACTAGGATCAAGAAATATGCAAGAGAAGTGAAAAGGAAAAATATTTTGGTTTACGGCATCCTTATCCAATGTAAGGTATGATTATTTTTCTATGTGCAAATTATCTTTTGTGGTTTATATGATTAATGATAGAATCTTAATTTAAAACAAAATCAAAGGAAAATAATTATGACATCAAAAAGATTTTTTGGGGGAAGATTCTTGCCTGCTCTTGTTCAAAAATTAGAAGAGCCTGTATTTATAGGCAAAAATGGAACTGTTTTGATTAGAGAGGAATAAATGTTTATCATTTTTAGAGGCATGTGAAAATGTCACAGCCCTTTTTGGTTTTGTGCTTTGAAATTTACTTTTTGCAGCGTTAAAAAAGTAAAAAATAATAAAAGCATGTTTGATCAGTGGTTCTGCATAATTTTACTTTCCCCATAAAAGCAGTGTTTGGTATTCAGGTGACATATAGGTGGTGAAACAAACAGTGGTGTTTACAATAGCAGCAAATTGCCTCAGCTGGAGGCAGAAGAGGGGTAACACTCCAGCATTCTTTGTACTCACAAAAGCTATTTAAAATAAACAATGTTTTACTGGGAAACATGTTCTGCCAACCAGAAGAGCATTGCGTCCTGTGCATATAGTTTTTGCAGCTTCTTAACTTAGCGTAATAGTGAAGAAGTTAGATATCCAATGGAAATTTTATTAAAGAACAATAAATGTAATCCCAACTGATTTTTTTTTTTCAGCTTGAGTTAGGTGTTTTGGTTCATATATGATTGATTAAATATAGGTTAATAATATAGACTTGATTTTCTCTTCAAATTCTCTTTGCTTTACTAGGAGCTATGACTATCAGTACCTATCAGTTCATGGTTTCACAGACTTTTGATGCCCATAGGTTATGAATAATGTTATGTGACATTAGTTTCTCATTTGTTTGTACAACGTGCAAGGGTATACAACCATTTTCAGTCTTCTTCCTGGTACTGTCAAGCCCCATATTATACAGGGTGAACTCTGACTTTCTTTGATAAAAATCATTTGAGTGACTATTGAAGTGTAGCTCTAAGAGGTGATACAAGCACCTTATCATGGTAAAAATAACATTGCAAATATTACTTTATTGTAAGTGTAGGTTTTTTCCTTTTAAACTTCATTGGCTGTATATATGATTTTATATGCGGTGGATCAAATATACATATATGAATAGTAAGTCAATAAAGATGACTGGAAAAAAAGGGAAAAAAAACCCCACAAAAATCCACTGATGATTATAAACATAGGACCAATACATTTTATCACTAACAGGCTCATATAACAATATGAGATCTGAATGAAAACTCTTAATCCTGGACAGTAAGAGAATTACAGCAGAATGCTGCCCTTCTTATTTTTTTTTTTTTGACAATGAAAAGCTGGAATGATTCTGTAAGATCACTGCAGGCAGAGTTGCCATTTATTCTCATGGAAAAGTATTATATAGTGTAAAACACTTAGCAAAGTAAACAACTAGCTGTCTTGTTTTAAAATGGCTTTAAAACGTGTCCTGCTTGCAGAGATGGGGGTGTAGTACTGAGTCCCTGCTTGTCAGTGTTTGGAGGCTGACTAATAAAGAGGTTATACAGATCATGTGTATATATATGATACATGCATCAAGTTTTCTTTTGGCTGCAGATCTACAAAGAACATAACTGTTTTGAGATATGACCTATGGAAAGACTTGACATATGAATCTAAAATTACATAGCCCTAACTTTATTGCTGAAATGGGGGAGAGTGAGAGGGAGCACTGTGAACAAATACAGTTTAAGTGAAAAGACATTTTTTAAACAGGTTGGTTTGTTTTGATTTTTTTTTTTTTTTTTAGTTCCAAAGCATGATTTGAGAGTCACCAAGATATTTTACTTCTAACACAACCCATTAGCTAATAGGTGAATCCATAGGTGAATTCCATGCTTTAGGATGGAAAGATGAATTCATACTGGCATAATGGGGGTTCCAGAGGCAGTAGAAACACAGAAAGCGCTTGCTACTGTAATGCAGGATGCTCAGCCTGTTGTCACAATAACTTCTGTCAGTATCTGCTTTCCAGAAGTCACTGAAAGCCATAGTTTATTTCAGGAAAAGTGATGACAGATTACTTCACGAAGCTTCCTTCTAGCTGTCAGGTTCTATCATCACTAGCAGACATGCACAGTTGATATACACACTCTTCTTAATTCAAAACCAGGCATGAAATATAAGGGAGGAAGAATTTATTGAGACACATGACCATAGTAATACTGACTTGTAAATATTTTATGTTTAGAGGGGTTATATGATTAAGTAGGTGTGATGATATGTCGATATTAAAGAATATGGGGGAACTCTTTGCGATTCTGCATTGTAAAAGTAAATTTGTTGATATAAATGTTTTTGACATATTTTTTATGTTTTGGAAAAGAAAGTGGAATGCTTTTGAAACCTAGGAGTACGTTTTTGACAGTAATGGAGGAGGTATGAAGACTGAAAAAATGTATTTTCATTTCTTCATTTTAATGTCTTGAATCCAGTGTTTATTTTGTATTTAGAAAAAGATACCAAGTACTTCCATGTCTATTTGATACTCCAAGAATCTAATCGGGAAAATGAAAGGAAAAGGCTTTATTGTATTTTATAAATGACCTGCTTTGTTCCTTCATTTGATCAAAATGAGTGCATGTTCATGGCTTGTGCACAAATAGTTTCTTCTCTCTCAGACCTTGTGTGTGGAATACCAGATTACTGATATTGATATAGAGATTGGATCCACTTTATAACAACTCTAGTTTGCATCCTGAAAATACTGTTGATTTAAGTGTCACTTAAATTTTTAAGACAGTTCTTTTCTAAAACAGTTCCACAATATTACAAATAGTTTACATGCTCACAGCTCAAAAGAGGAATAAGGGTATTCAGTAAACTCCAGAGTTGGAACTTACAGAGTTACATTGTGAGGGTTTTTCAGATGAGTTGAAGGAAGTAGCTGATAAGCAAGTGAATTAAAAACAGGGAAAAAAACCTGCAGTTTTTGGGAAGGTATAGCTGGCATATGTTGATGACAATGATAGTAAAATTCCAATTGTTTTGATTTAATGATTATTTTAATCTTGAAAATAGCAATGACTGGTATGATACTGTTTTATACGGATAAGAATTTTTTTAGTAGTAGTAGTCTAATGGGGGGTAATGCCGAGCAGCCTATTCTGAATATTAGGAGGAAAAGCTATGAAAAGAAGCCGAGTTACTCTTAAATAAAGTTTTACTTAAGATGTGTGTTAAGAATTACTAAGAAAAAAACCCACAATAGGTAATGTCAAGACATTGAATCCATGAGCTAGAAATGTATTCATCTTGAGAGCTCTGGTTTATGTCATTCAAACTACAGGAACCCCACTTGCCTGTGGTAGTTATTTGTTGATCTGTGTTCTGAGCAATGGAATAATTCATAACTTGGGCCTTGATCTCACAAACACATGCATTATTATCTTTAAACATGTCCTGAGTAGTTAATGGTTTTATACCTAAATATGAAAGTTATGTTTTTTTAAAAAAAGACTGTTTTTCCTGTTTACTGCTATTCTGCCTTTTAAAATAATAATCTCTTATGACTCACTGACAAAAAAATAGTCAACACACATAAAAAAAAAATCTAAGAAGCATTTCCCAATACAGGAGTAAAAATTCAGAATCTTATAAAGGTTGCTGTAATAACATCTTGGTCTAGAAGTTTCAGTAACAACTTTGTTACTTTTCACGGAGAATAAAAAGGTACAATTATCATTCGAATTAAAGCATGCCTGGATGGATGTAGGAAGCCACAGAAGGCTTTAAAAAGTGAAAGTAATACTAATATATCTTGGTTATAGAACTATATTAATGTTAAATAATCCTGCTTCAGAGAGGCACTGACAGAATATCAGGTTAGAACAGCAAATATGTGCTCAGGCTTGTCTGGGGTAATGTGGCCCCAAATACTTTTGCCTCTGAAACTCCTTTTTGATTAAGAAAAGGGAACTACTCACTGACAGAAAAATCACAGTCCACATACTGTAAAAACCAACACAATAGAATAATTATTATGAAGCTGCTTGAAACTAAAAGGAGTGTGAGTGTTTCCTATGCAAACATAGTGGACATTTATTGTTGTCTTTAAGACTTGCAGACAAGGCCCATCTACAGTGTGCTTGATGGCTCAAGAAATATTTCGTGCTAAATTTGTTTTCTGTCTGGCTTAGTAAACCAAAAAGGTAAACATTTACCATTTCTTTTTCATCAAAGATCCCTTAAAAATCGTATTATATGGAGACATTAAGGCAATGTTTCTCAAAATGGGGTTCACAGCCCAAAATGGGATCATCCAAATGGCAAAGCAGAAGGTGGTGTGGCAGCCAATAGTGAGATAATGAGCCTGGAGGGCAAATGAAGTAAAATCACAAACTGAAAGTTTGGTAACTTGTTGAAAGCAAATGAGGCATGCCCTGTATGACCTCTGCATGTGTCTTAATTCATTTAATAATCAGCATCGAATTGGTCAGATGATTGCAATCTGATTAGAATAATTTGGATGCTGGCTGGAGATCGTTCCTCAAGATAACACTTGTTAAAACTTCATCTGCAATGACATAATAGATTGTAATTAATATGGAAACCTATATCTATTCATAGAACTCCTTAAGGCCAAGTAATTACTGTTTAGTATTTTCAAGAGCCAGAAACCAAACTTTTAAGTACCATGATCCTGTGGACCGTTCACTCTTTCATTAAGGAGAATTGAGCAAATGAGCGATGAGCCAGAGTGACCTTGCTCGCACAGTGTGGGACATAGAGAGAAACCAAATCCTGTTTGGAGCTTTGTATGTAAGTAACTTCGTGGAAGTCAGCATCTGTAAGTTATTAATACAAAGGCCTAGCAATGTCATTCACCAATAAAACTAGAAATTTATATCTGTGAAGGCTACATGCTATTTCATCCTTAATCTGTTGCTACTACTGTCTGCAATGAGTCATGACTGCTTATTTTGCAATCGGTAGAACTGACATGTAAAAGATTTACAAACACTGACTTT